CTGGTTGTAAGTTCATGTGGTGCTTGAATGTATGTTAGGAGGCTTCAAATGAAAACACTTTCACTATTAAACGAGATATTAGCCATTGAGATGAATGAGTTCACTTCACATGTAACAGAGCCTGTATCAGTTTAGAGTTTGTTTCCATTGTATAATGTGTCAGTCAAGTTTAAAAAAGAGTTAATTAAACATTTTAACAATTTACAATCCTTTTTATATTAACATTTAAGCTCCAATTAAAAAATATTTAAGCTACTAGTTATGTTTTGCTACGAAAAAGTCATACATTATCTCATTGCGGTGCTAACAATGTAGCTTATGCAGAAAATTTTTAAAATAACTCAAACCCGAAACAATAAAAAAAGTTAATTATATTTTTGTTTATCTAATTTTGTTATAATAATCCTAAAGATTATCTAATACTTTGAAGTACTCAGATTTTATTGGTTACATAGTAATAAAAACAATTTTTTTACCTCTGCACCTAACTTATCAGAAGTGCTATTAAATACAGTTTTAAGTGTTTGAAAGATTGTCTCAGAGATTAGTTAAATAGAGATGAGTTTGAAAAGTAGATTTTATGGTATTATACAAGTAATTAAATAATAAAAAGTGAAGTAATTTTTAGGAATTTGTTGTAATTAAATAATGAGAAGAATATTTTTCTCAGGTAAACCTAAATAAATCTGAAGTAAATTGTGTGATCAGTTCGGTCTACAATATTTAATATATTTACATATAAACTATACTAAAGAGTAAAAAATGCATAAAAGAATAAAAATTTAATATTAGAAAAACATTTTTTCCAACACTTTCATATCCCTAACACAAACAGATATATTTTTATTTAATAAATTATATACAATAACATGTAAACATACATACGATAACAATAATATGGCCATACAGGCAAATGGACCAACAGATGAATATCATTTAGTCATATTGATTAAGATTGCTTACATATGACATTTTCGTTTGGTAAATCTGGGGTAATTTTTTCAATCGAGTTGCTCTTTTAATGTAAATCTGGAGTAAAATCTATAACACTCGACATTAACTTATAACACTCTAGATAATTTGCGAGAATAGTAAGATTCCTCTAACAGTAACAGCTGTTTTATATGTTTTGACAGTTGAAGTGTGATTTGATTCAATATAAATATTCATAAAAAAATATATATCTTTTAACGCTACTACAAAAATGCTAGTTTACTCTAAAAAGGTTTTGACAACAAAATTTGAAAGATCAAGAGTAAATTTAAATTGAATCCATATTTACCAATCGAAAATGCTAATAGTATCCAGTGTCATATTCAAACCCTTCTATAATTATCATTAGATCCAGCGTATCCAGATCCAGATCCAGATAGATGGAGGACTCAGTGTCTTGTTCTCTTTAATACTTTTAATAATTTATTTAATTCTTTTATAATTATCATCAGATCAAGGGGAAGGATATCCCCATTAACAGAATAATTTATAAAAATAATGTAATTTAAAGAAAAATATTGTCCATCGATTTATCTCCTTAATCTGTTGAGATTTATAAAAATATTTATAATAAACAGAACAAGATACTAGAACCCATACTGGATCTAATTTTAACTTAAAGTTATAATAATAAAACGTTAGAAATATTGGAAAACTTGACCAATTTTAAAAATAACTATGGAAAAATTGCTAAAAGAGTTGGATTGAGTTTTTGAGCATGGAGTGTATTTAAATAAAGTTTTCCTAAATAGTGTCCATGAGACTATTACTATATAGATATACATATTTTCATGCATATATACATAAATTAAAGAAAAACATAAATAAAACTATTCCTATTTCTTATTTAAAAGAATTTAGCGAACTTCAAAAATAACTTTTAAAAAAATATTTCCGAGTAAAATCTAGGCTACGCCTTGAAACTCATACCCCATTCCTCAATAATTGTTTAAAGGATAAATAAAGCAATTAAAGAAGTTTATATAGGAATTGTTTAAGCTCCTTTATAGGAAGTGATCGAGAGTTTCTTAAAAAAAGAATTTTGATCGAAAACAGAGGTATACAATGGCTACTTTAACCAGATATAAATCTTATCGGTTCTATATATACTATTATTCACTATTATTGGATAAAAGTAAATGATGTGACGCAAAGAAGATTGAATCAAAAGCATTAATAAATAAACATTAATGTGTAGAGTTTTGTGTAGAGTTCATTATTTTAATCAATAACTGAGAGAGCTGAGAGAGTTTGTATGACACTTTATATAATATAGTACCTTCTATATATTTAGGCAGATATAATTTGAAAATAAAATAATTTTTCAGCAGTTTAAAGTCAAATGGATAAAATCCAGATGAAAGAAGTGTTAAATTATTGATATTTAACAAAGTGAATGGTATTATAGCTTTGGTAAAGCTAGAATAAGAAGTATGGCAGATACTTAAGTATATAAACCAACATAAATAATAAAAAATTACAAAAAACTTTCTTAAAGATTTATGTCGGCATTTTCATTCAATTTTAATCATTGTTAACTGTGCTTTTAATTGTTTTTAATTGTTTAACTGATTTGTATTCATAATTATTAAATAACACCTTCCATACGTAAACCTGTTCAACGTTACAAAGAATCACATAAACTTAATAGTTCTGTAGAAACATATATCTCAGATCGATTAGTGGAAAATCTCATAAATTTTTGTGTAATAACAATGTTTACTTCAGTTATTATCGCTCAAGCGATTGAATTACTGCCGCAGACCCATTATCTTTATTTATGCGCATAATTTGAGGGAGTTTGGCTCAGACACCACACAACAAAGCCAGCAAAATTATTTTAGGTTCTTACTGGAATGCTAGGTGCTGCGCCCCTGTACAAATCGGATAAATCAAAACAAACTATTAACACTTAAAAAACTATATTAATTATTGTTATTAATAATTATTTTAATTATTTTTGAACTTTAAAATATGTATTTATTTGATTGCTGAGGTGCGAGATAATTGATGGCTGTAAATTTGTAAGTAAAATCAAAATGAATTTTTATTAAAAAAAAAAAATAAAAACTGATTTTACTGAATGTTACAATTTCATGAATTTATTTAGAATTATAAAATTAAAATTTTTATATCAAAAATAACAAAATATTTGAACGGTACTCGTATATTTGCGTTAAGCATAATGAGTATTTCAGTGTGATTGCAGTTATATATACTTTTTTAATTCAGTTTTGAGGTTATATTTGGTAAAAATGTGTTAGTACATTGATATTTGTCTCTTTAGAAATATATATTTGTCTGACTATTTTGAAAATATGAAGACTATATTTAAATGACAGCCTATGTAAACACTAAACTTGGTGAGTATGCACATTTAGTAGAAGAATTCCATCTTACAACAATTTGTATATGCAGTTTCTGTTTATATATTAATTATACTTAAACTTATACCAATATATAAAGTTGAAAGTATATATTATCCATTTCATGATTTTTGATTAAGCAGCACTTCACTGATTTGATACTTTGTAACATTGAAACATTTGAAAACTGATTTTCTAGCTTATCTACCAGCTATTTTAGGCAGAATTTATAAATCCGCAGTAGTTCGGTTTGGGAATTGGATCGAATTAATTTTAAAAGTTAGAGGTTTCGGTTCAAATCCGGTTCAGTTCAGCACCCGTTCTAATTTAATTCTTTATACTAATTTCAATTTATAGTTTTAGTACAGTGAGTCTTAATACCAAATAGTAGTAGTTATAGCCACATGAGTCCACATCTAGAACCATAGGTATTCGTACGTAGTTGGTTCGTGGTATATATAGGTACATTTATTTTTAGAAACAACATTTTTTCTTCTTAACCTTATTTATCTCTAAAACAAATTCGTGATAAACCAATAAGCATAATATTTATATATACATACGTGACTTTACAAATTCGGTTTATATGATTTCATGATATTCCAGAGTTTGATATTCCTAGTACTCTTTTCTAGTACAGCTTGTTTAGTTTATTGTTCGGAAATCCATTTATTGGGCAATTCTGGCAAAGATCGTTAAAAGTATTTTAGACGTTTTAGAAAAAAAGTTTTCAGTCTTTCAAAAGACTGCTGCTAAAATACGAAAGATCTTTTAGACTTTTCAAAGTACATGGTACATTAGGATGAATGACATCCTCAGGGACCGCGAGATTGATCTCATCAAAAAAGACATAAGGATAGAGACCTCAAATTATTTACGGAAATTGACAGACAAACCAACACTGCGTTATCAAATCTCAGAATGGTTATAGGCTCCTCAGGGAGGTATGCAGATCTGAGGTCAATTATTGCTTAGTCTAATGAAGTAATAAACAATAATTATTGTGATAAACAATAATTGAGAAGTGTTTGGTTATGCGTGATTTAAATAACTGGAGAATTAATGACAATAATATATTTTTCTCAATTCATATATAATCTTCTTTTTGTATTTACATTGTTTATGTTACGGGATTATGAAGTTCAAAAACTGATTTATTAATTTAAGCAATCTCACATTAGTTCTCATAAACAAGAGAGAAAATCTGCAAAATCTGTCTGCAAAGTCTGTTTTCCTTTGACTTTTGTCATTGAAATGTAAAAAACAACTTATGATATATTGTCCCATTGTTTCATACATGTTTGCGTTCAATTTAATTGAAGTTCATGGAAGTAAGAGCATTGAATATTCAATGAGGAATGCAATTCACACAAAAATATTCCACTTTAAACACATTACTTGTTAAGTTGAAATGTAATGCACTAAAATTAATTAATCCGAATAGAAAAATCGATTTTGTATGCAAAATTCGAGTAAAAGGAGTCTTAATGTGTCTGGGAGACGTAAGTCCATTGCAACATTTAAACCATAGTATTAGATAAGGGTGAGGTAAGACCGCCTTTCCTTTTTCTTTCGATTTTAAATATCTTATTTCAATTGAACTTTTGATTGTGACTACAATCTAATTGTGACTTAACTTACCACTTAAAGTGGAGACTGCGCTCCGTCAATTTGTTGTCAAATGGAAGTCCGTAGACGTACACAAACCGGCACAGAAGTACTTGAATCCGTAATAGTGGAGCATAAAAATTTGCACAGGTGAACCCTTTCAGCAAAAAGTTTTTTTTCTTTTGATTTTTATTTTAATTTTAGTTTTATTTTATTTTAATTGTAAGTATTCAAAACTAACAACAAAAAAAATTAAGTTGAAAAATTTACATTCACTTTTTGTTGTAGTGCATCTCAAGCAGCCGATAGTACTTCACACTCCGAACCGATAATGGGCAGTAATGCGAATGTTTTGCACAAAAATTCTATAGAAAATCGATTTCAATTAAACACACATTCAAAATCTGCACTTCTAAGCTTTTGGCTATAGATTTCAGATTTTAGATTTGTTGTTGTTCTTCTTTCAGAGCTTATAATACTTTTTTAATCCGGATATCGTTGGGAAAACGTTGCTATTGCAGTTTTACTTCACCGTTGTAGCGTTAAGCTGCGTTTGAATGTTGGTTTTCGTTTAAAGAATACTAAAAGTGCATAAACGTGCAGAGCTGCGCATGCGCATCGCACACTAGAAATGCACTTTATTCATGTTCGTTTAATAGAAAACAATAAAGATACATGCCAACTATCTAAAACGTAATTGTAAATTGTTTATATTCGTGTTGCTGCGATTGCATTAATAACTATATGTTGCTTTTACACCAATCCAACCACCACCGCGACCTCCACCCTCAACAGCCTTAGCAGTTAGTAAAGATATTTAATCCGAAATATTTAATATTTACCGCAGCATAAATTACAACATTTTGCACTCTTCTAATTTTAATATCAACAATCACCACAGCTTCGTAAGTTACCTCACCAGAGCTTGCATCGACATAACATACCATAAGACTCTGTTAAATGAGATACGTTCGTGCAAATTAACTCATGTCGCCGTCTTCTGTGGTTCTGCCTGTAGCAAAGGGCCCAGATACTCGATTTCCTTCAATGACATCTGAAGTTTTGACAGTTTCACATTCATTTTCGCATATGAGCGATCGTATAATTCTGTGCTATGACGTAAGTGGGTGACTGCGTGATGTGATTAAACTAGATTTCTGTGGAACGAGAAGTGAGCTACAAACTCAACCGGCAATTTTGAAATTTAAATTCAATAGACAGCAATTAATTTATTTTCCTCAAAACATTTTGCATAAATATTCCTTATTTGTTTATAAAATATTGTGAATGCATTTAATTAAGTAATTATATTCTATAAAAATGTAGATAAAATAATAAATGCAATTACAACTTTATTTTTTGTTTTTCTACTCTTTATATGTAAATATTGAAGTAGACTACAAGTAGATAAGAAACTTTTAGTACAGATAATAAATTACAAAGGTCATTAGATAACTTTCATGTACCTCAAATACCGATTTTTCGTCATTTTGCTAAAAAAATAGAGTCATATTTTAGTAAATACATTTCTTAATATAAGGACTGGTAAGTAATCCATTTACTATCTATAGAATAACCCAGTTTGTCGTTTCAAAAATGATGGGCAAAAAGCGACACTTGTAATCAAGATTATTAAAACACTTGTGATTCATTCTTGCCAACAGATGCAAGTTCAGGCTAACTAGGCATTTGAAAAAGAAAATCCTCCCTCGACAAATTAAAAACACGCGTTTCTTATCATGCCTGTTCTGCTATATGGTATAGAAGCTTGGACAACAGTGATGAGAAAGCCTTAAGAGTATTCAAGAGTAAAATTCTTCGAAAGATCTTTGCGCTGTATAAGTTATTCCTCGACATTGACATAATTAAGCGCATAAAAATTCAGCGATTTTTCTGGCTTGGTCATGTAGTGCGAATAGAAGAAAAAATGCTCCCGGTAGGAGGGTGTTTGATTCGGTACAAGCAGATAGAGGACGTCCACATCTTCGGTGGAAGGACCCGGAAACCAACGATTTGGAGACGCTAAATTCTATAATCTGGTGACAGTCCACTGATTCAAAAATCCAGTCCACAAATCCACTGAGCGGGCTGGTTGGCGGAGACTCACGTCCAATACGACTCACGTCAATAATGGCCAACTAAGTAAGTTATTGTGATTTAGATTTTAATTAAATTTTTAATTCAGTAAATTCAGTAAATGCAGGTGGTTAGTCTGTGTAATATATAACACATTCGAATATTTTTAACAGGACATCTTACATTATTGCATGGAGGTGATTTTCTATGAGATTTCGGCACATAATGACAATAACCTAGCTGGTTAAATAGTTTTCAAACATTTGGCATTTATTAAGAGATATAGGTATATTGTAACCCAGAGTATCAAACCATAAGAAATATTTCTAAAAAAAAATTTAGCACATTTTGAGTTAAGAAGACGCAAGAGTTGTCTTATAACTATCAAAACACTCTCAAATATATTGTATTTTTCAGGATGAATCATTGTAGTTACACGATTACTCCATACTTCTAGAAAATTAAACAAAATTTGAATATCATCGTTAATGGAGTCCAGAATCTGAAATTTTTCCATTTCTGATTGAATGCTATTCGAGTGGTTAGGCTTTGAACAAGACAAAGAGGATGACATATGTGTTACATATGTCATATAGTCATATAGTATAACGAGGTCTTATATCAATAGGGGATGACAATATGTCTACTAAAAATAAGTTATAGCATGAACTTTCAGATCGCGTGACATATGAAGCTGGTGGAGACTAAAAAAGCAAATTATTATTAAGTTCGCTAAGTTTTGTCAAGAAAATAGTATTTGGATTGTGAAGATTTTGACTTAATTCATTGTAGGAATTACGAGTAGTTCTTTAATTTGATTTATAAATGTTAAAGGGAAATATAACAATGAAGTCGATAGTATATATCTTTTAAAATTCATAGTTGAAACGGTTTTATAAGATTGATTATAGTATATATACTTATATTATAGTAAACCTTATATACCTATCATGTATTGAGTTTAGGCTATGTTATATTGTATATTGTCTTAATTTCTGTAAGTTATGTAGATAACAGAAAAATGCTATCAACTTATCACTGGTATCTTCATTATGTGAATTGTCTTTATTTGTTGATTTTATGTCCAACAATACGTTTGAAGAAATTCCATATATATTTCAACAATATATATTGCAGACTAGGTTAGGTTGAAGTGGCAGCCTTGTTCCCAAAGACCAGTTAAGCTTAAATAATGGCCCGTTGTGGTACCATAGAATCAGCATTTGTACATTCGCAGACTAAAAATCAGCGTACAAGCAACGCATAAGCTGAGACCCCCAACAGACCATTAGGTTAAGTTGAATCAACCTGACAATTCTATAAACTAAGCTAGGTTCCTAAGTTTATAGAACGATTTCAGATTTTGGATCTCTTCCTAGCCAAGGCTGGACTCTGACACATGAGGTGAGGCAACTACAATATACATTGTAGCTGTATTTGAATAATATAAAAGTGATTGTGAATTCTGATTTTTAGTGATTTAATTAGCGCTAAGACGAAAACTAGATCTTGACTTATGAATATAAACTGAGACAATAAAAGTACATTCACAAAATATTAATGATTAAGATTTTATAACCATAAAGTGCATAAGGAAGACATGTTACTATTCAGAAATCAATTAATGTCAGTGCAATATTACTCGTATATATAGATTATGAGAAGTAAATATTTAAAGGAGTGTAATAATTATTATACAATTAATACGAGTATTTTTTTTTTTTAAATAAATAAAAAAGTTTGCTAAGGAGGTGCATTTGTGACAAATTTTGGATTTAGAGTTTATTAAAATTTATTAAAGAATTTTTACAAAACAAATGCTTCATATTTTTTCCTACTTTAAGTAAAGTAGCATTGATGAAGTGGAACCTTTTCGAGTCTGCACTTTAAATATGCCACTTCAGTAATCCAAATTCATTAAAAAGAATAATACTTTAATTGCACAGTAGCCATCTGCGAACTATATTTTTTATTAATGAAATAATGCAATTTATTTGTGGAGATGAAGGTTTTTTCTAATTATAGTGTTAAATTAACAGCAGTACCGAATATTTAATTAAGAGAAATCTAATAATTTGGCAATAGAAGAGACCCAGCTTTATTTATTTATTTAAAAAAGAAAAAAAAATGATAAACTACAAAAATGAGACAAAGTCTGTGCTCAGTAATCAATTGAATAGAAAAGGAATCTGCAAAATAGCACTCTATCTTCATGGTTGGCATGTGTTATCTCCTCAGAACGGCTTTCCCGGAACTAGTTCGGTGAAAGTTCAACGCGGTGTTGTACTTGTAGATGTAAGTTTTCACTACATTAAGGACTTTTAATTGCTTCTATTATGAACAATGTTCCTGCAGTATGTTTAGCTTAGCCAAGAGACTCACACGATGTCTAGGTTTTTTTATATACTATATATAATATATTCTATATAGGTTTCAATTTGTAGGAAATATACTCCGAGATTACACTTTTAGGTATGCAGTACGGCTTCTATGAATTGGACAATCAAATTGAAATTCTCTGAGCTTTTCATCATTGTCGAGATGAAGTTTTGTATTACCAGTAAACCGACTTATCTTTTGAGTTTATATTTTATTTTGTTCAAAACCCACATTCCAGTATGTGCAAGCTGGGCTCTCGATTTTCCCCGTTCTGTTTAAGCATTATTAATTAATAGATAATTAACAGTTGATGGATGCTACTTTTCAAAAATAGATAAGTGTGGTGAATTGCTTCGATATTTTTAGATGGAGTAAAAAGAGACGTGATATGCCACATACTCACTTATAAGTGAGTAATACGTCTTATAGTTGAGATAGCATATATACGAATTTACGGAGGATACGTCCTAAGATTGTTAAACACTGATCAAGACTGAAACTCAGCATAAAATTTTAATCTCAAACTGATGTGGTTGTCTTCTACGGCTAGCAAGAGGAATATAATCTGACAGTAGTACACCGAGAACATGAATCCAAAAATTATCAAAGCACGATTATTCGCAACAAAACCAAGCTTTCAGGAAATAATCGTAGTCCTTAAATTATTAAACTATCATTATATTATAAGATCATATTCTTAGATTTCTTTTAAATAAGTAATTGAATTATCCCACAAAAGTGTATTTAACTTCCGAAGAAGTTTTGGAA